AAATCCTTTGTGCTCTGGCACAGACATCAAGCTCCTTTTTGCCCTGACTTAAAAAGCAGAAGGATTGATTTGACATCAAGTACTTTGAAGAAAGCAGTGAATATTCTGGCTGAAATATCTCTGAGTGAGTCTGAGCACAGAATGCTGCAGAGGAAGTGCTTAGGGAAAAATTGTTGATGGAGGGGGTTTGGAGTCAGGAGCTTGTCAGCACTGCTTTGTATATGTGGAAGGCTGAGAAGTCCTGTGTTTTCCTGGTTGTATTTCAGGATGTGAAATACTACACTTTATGTTGTCCTGCTCGCTGCTGTGCTTGTCGGTAAAGTCCTGTACCTTGCATTCCTGTGCTGTGCTGGCTTGAATCACATGGAAGGAAATGCTCACTCTGAATAACCTACAGCATATTGCCATGGAAGAAACACCAAAGTGCCCCTAGGAATCCCGATGGTCTCCTTGCTAACGCTGCGTAGAAAGGTTTTGTGGCAGCTCAAAGGAGGGGCAGGTGGGAGGTTTTCACACTGCCAACATACAGGGTCCAAAAAAAGCTCTTACAAGGAAGTTCTGAAGAGGTTTTGAACTCTGACAATTTTGACACTCTTCTGCTAGTGTGTTTGTATTGTCCCAGGGAAGGTGAAATTAGGTGGCTGCACTAGAGTTCCATCTCTCACAAGTCTATAATATAACCACACTTGTACGTACACTGATTGATGCATGTGGCACATTAACCAACCTTTTACTGCTTGGCTGCTGCTGTCATCCTTTGGCTTGAAATCCAAAATGAAATTTTAAGAATGTCAGCTGAGGTGAAAAACACAGTATGGGAAGTAATGTCTGATCGTTCTACAATTAAGATCATCTTAAACGTTTTCTAGCATTTGTGTTAGTATTTGTCCTAGCAGCCTTTAAATGAAATGCTGTGCTGTATGATGCTGCATCCTTAGGAAAAAAGATCATTTTCCTCCATGCAGGCAAGACTGAGAATGTATGCAGCTTGAAACACTTAGCAGTGCACTTCTTAAACCTGCATGTGAACTTTAGAAACAGGGTAACAGTGCAAGTACTGCTACATGTTCCACTCTTAAATACATACAGTCTTTATGGAAGAGAAATCTGAACACATTTGGTTTATGTTTGGGAATAGAAATTCTATTGCTAGGAAAGTACTGCTATTCAAGTTTTTTTGTAAGAGTAGTACTCCAGGGAATGTTTTAATATTCTCCTGAAAATGGTTTTTTAAAAAAGAAAAGTATCAAGATTTTACAAGTTCTGCACCAGATATGGTGACCATTTATAGTCAGGCCAGATGGTCTTACTAGGTGTCTGTGGGGAATTGAGACTTCTTCTCTGTAAAGTGTTTTGGAGATAATGAGGCAAACTTCCACCTTTTTATTACTCATTGGAATAATTTAATGGCTATAGTTTAAATTTTCCAGACTTAACTGACATGATATGTATGCCATCTCCCCATGTACTTCAGAGGTTTAAGAGATTTTCTTTATGGTTACAAGCAAGCAGAACAAGACTGTCTTGGAGACATCTGCAGAAGGGCTGCAAGATAAACAGGATATGTCTCCAGTATTACTTCTGGTTCTAAGAGCTAAAATATAGAGGGATTTTTGCTAAGCACCTTCAAATATTTTGAGTTTATGCAGGAGTTTTTCATAATTGTCAAGAAAATCCAAAATTAATCCTGATGAGAGGCGTAAGTCTTCTCATTAACACCTGTCTTCTGCCAGTGGGGATTAGTGAGAGCATTCCTGTGTGCTTCATCCCCATAGCAGGCTGTGTTTGTGCAAAGCTGGGCCTTTCTAGGGTGTTAGTGGGAGGTTAGGGCAGTGGTCTGCTCCCTCTGTAATTTGTCTCAAGAACTGCAAGTAGAGTATCTCCAAGGCAAGAGGCATTTAAACCACAAAGCATGCATACAGCAGTCTTTTCCTGATTATAATCTCCTAATGAGTGACAAATTCTAACAACTTCCTGAGCCAGAAGCTGCAACCAAATCACATTTCAGTTTATCTAGTCTTTTTTTTTCTTCTGAATGCCATTAAGCTTTTGATTTCCATAGCATCTTGTGGTAGAGTTCATGATTCCATTCTCAATCTTTTTCTCCTTATGGGTCTTGTTCAATGTTCCTGTATATTCATCTGCTCAAAAGAGCATTTCTGTTTTAGGATATGGAGAGGACTGAACAGCATGTAATTCCTCTTGAAAACTTTGTAGTCTTTTTTTTTCTTCTGAATGCCATTAAGCTTTTGATTTCCATAGCATCTTGTGGTAGAGTTCATGATTCCATTCTCAATCTTTTTCTCCTTATGGGTCTTGTTCAATGTTCCTGTATATTCATCTGCTCAAAAGAGCATTTCTGTTTTAGGATATGGAGAGGACTGAACAGCATGTAATTCCTCTTGAAAACTTTGAGAACTCAGTTTTCTGGCGTTGTGTGGTTTTTTGTTTTTTTTTTGTTTTTTTTTTTTTTTTTTTTTTTTTTTTTTTTTTTTTTTTTTTTTTTTTTTTTTTTTTTTTTTTTTTTTTTTTTTTTGTGTGTGTGTGTGTGTTCTTTTTGTTTCTTGACAGGCTTGACAGAAGCTTGACAATCTCAGTTTTTTAGGTGCTCCAGGTTAGTATAGTACAGCCTTATTAGCCAGTATGTAAATTGAGATGAGCATGATCTGACTTGGGAGACATATAGTCTAGTATTAGTCACCTTTTGCAACCCATGAGGTTGTCTTACCCTTAAGTCTCAACTTCTGGTGAAGGATCAGGACACTTGACTGGATTAAATTTATAAAGCTGGTGGATCTGAGCCAGACATGCAGCTGATGTGTATGGCTGTAAAGTTACATTCATATGCACCGATCAAATTCTTTCATTCTCCTTTTCCACACTTGTTCTGTTCAAAACATTATGTTTTGCAAATAGCTTAATAATGTTTTGTACTTCTTGACAAGTAACAATTTTCCACTTTCAAATGCAGCTTATGGATTTTTATTATAATATAGCTTCTCCCCCCAGCCCCTGCTCCTGTTGCTTCAACAGTGGTGCCTTTGCTGTGTAGGAAAGAAGGAAAGGAGCCTGTTAGTGCAAAAAAAGAGCTGCATTTGTCTGAGAGAGATTTGGAAACTTGAACAGCTTTATCTCAAGTTTCAAATAGTCAGCGCAGCCAGGAGGATTACACACAATCTTCTGGCAGCCTTTATAACTGTAATAAAAAAGCAGTTTTAATTCAGGTAAGGTGACCCTTTTTTTTGTCTCAGGTGGTAAATGACAGGAGACCATACTGACTTTCTCAAATCCATCTCTTGTACTTTATAAATAATTAAGGCTGTTGAAATTAGACTTTCTTGAGCAGCAATTCTGTTTTTCCATCTAGGAAAAATTTCTATTGTGTTAAAATGCAGCCAAACCTTCAACAGTTTCCTTTAAAGAATGCTGACTTGTAGTATTGTTCAAATTTACAGTCATGACTCTTCAAGTCAAAAATGAGTTTCATTCCGGGTTAGTATACAGATGGACTTCTAGGTGAGCTGGCTGGGTGTAGTATGCATGGTCCTTTAGGTCACTGGCAAAGCACACATGGAGGAGAAAGTCACAGAAATGCAAGGGGTGGTAGGGACCTTCAGGGCATTGCAGTGCATATTCCACTTGATATAGGACTATGCTTTACAGATATTCCTGTACTGCAAAGCTAAAATTGCCCCTTCAGAAAGATAAAAGTGCATATAAGTTGGAAGGGATCTTTCTTTGAAGTTGTTGAAATCACTTCTGGGAAAGCTTTACAAGTTGATAAACCCTGCCTTCTCCCACTTTTCAACAGAAGAACACTTTTGTCCTGTTTTGCAAAAGAAGAATCATTAGGATACTTAGCTGTTTACACAGATCTTAAGAGAAAGTGTACTTATGTGCCAAAATAAGTCTGCACTGCAGTGTGGAGTAACTATGGCGAAAACCAGAGTTTTATGCTTGAGCAGCTTGCATTACGTGCCCTAAAACTAAGAGTGAATATAGTTGTCTTTTTAGTCAGCATTTAGGTTTTAAAAAACAGCTATGCAAGTTGGACAGATAGACATTTAGAGTTGGGCTCAGACATCTGCTATATATTTTTTAAACATTCTATGTAATTAATACAGTATCATGCCAAATGTGCAGTAGAGCTGTTGGGAGACAGTGTTTATTCTGCCTGTATTGCTTGTTTCACTGATTGTTAGTGTAGTTTTTATACAGAAACCCCATAGATTTGGAGGGAAGTGATGCACTCTAAATTATTCAGTGGAATGGAGAATACAGGTATATGAGAAAATCAAAGGTGCTGTTCCATCTTCCATCATGGGGGAAAAGACTGTCTTCTGCGTTTGGTGCTTTTGTGTCCCTTGGAGGAGAAAGGAAATGCAACTTCCTTTATGAAATATAGAAACAGTCAGTATCAGAAAAGTTATAAAATGTTGTCTTCAGGGCTTTTAAAAATTCTTGGTCTCTCAGACGAGTATTATTTTTATTATTCCCCCCAAATAATGGGTTATTTTCTATGGACAACATTGCTAAAACTGATAATACATGTGTATTTAGGACTTTCTTTTAATCACTTTCCTTCACTGGGAGAGAGCTGTAAGGACAGTTGCTTTGTGCAAGTGCACGTGGTGGTAATACAATCCTAAAATGTTGTGTTGCTTGACTGTGGAGTTTGCTTTGAGTCTGACAAACTCAAAAAGAAACTTACTTGCTTGATACTGATAAAGTGGCATTTATTGCACTTACTGTTCCCATGTGGAACATTCCTGAGATGTGCAAGTTATAAATTTTTCCAGTTACACTGGTTGAGGTTTAAATTAAAAAACTAGATACATATTGTAAAAATCTCACTAAGTGCCCCTCAATCCTGATAAAATCGATTATCCAACAGAGAGGATGAGTCAATATGTATGTTAAAAAAACTTCACCAAACCACAGACAAAACCACCATAAAGTTCTAGTTCCTGTTCTGATTTTTTCTTTTCCTTTTCCTACAGTTCCTTGGCATAGCATTTCTTGGGATTGGATTGTGGGCATGGAATGAAAAGGTAAGTTGAATCAGCACCAAACTTTGTTTTTCCTCTTTATCTCTCTTTTTCTGATAAAATATTGAAATAGTAATATGCTGCATATTTTGTGTGTCCACACACAATTTCTACTGAAACAAAACCAAGCCTCTCTGTCAAGTAAAACCTTGGCTCTGGTCACCTAGAGGAACAACATCGGCATCTTTCCCGAGAATACCTTGGCAAGAAACTGTGGCTGACACTTGCACATAAAATAACCATTTCAATTCCTGCATGCTCAAACTGCAGCACAGATGCTAGAACACTCTACTGAGGCAGTATTGGCAGTGTGTCTCCACTGCACGTGTCCCAGGAATGGAGAGGGAGCCTACATGTCTTAGAGGGCAGCTTCCTAAAAATAGGATTCCTTGGCTTTGCCTTAAGGTAGCATGTAAATTGCTGTTCCTCTTAAAAAAAACCAAAACCTTACAAAAACCCCCCAAAACACAAACAAAAACAAAACCCGAAACAAAACAACAAACTGAAAAACTAAATGAACCCTGAAAACTGAGGCAAACCTGAGACAGAATAACTGTTGGTTATTCTTGTGAAAATGAAACTGCCCACTGGAACATTCTCTGTTGCAAAACTGTAAAATCAACTTCAAAATGAAGAGCATGCATGCACATCTGTGTGTGTGTGTGTACAGAGTGGGCAGGGGAAGAGAAAACATTTGTGAACTAGAGGCTAATTTTCAGTTTGCTTGCTACAGAAGTTGAGAAGATGATAAAATATCAAGACATAATATACAAAAGAAGTCAGTATGTCTTGGGTTACTGGATGAAGAGTTTGGCTTGCTGAAGTACAACAGCTAAAATTAAAGCCAGAGTTTCCTTTCCTTCTTTGTTTAAAAGATTGAAAATAATAAAACCTGGCTGATAACAATGGTGCTGTAATGTTCAGTTGCATAATAGTTTTTTTCTTCTTTTAATGGAAAACACTGAGTAAGTTAGAAATTGATGTTCACTTAAGGCATAATAACTGGTGCTTGCAGCAGAACAAATAACACATTGAAAGATCTGGAGTTTTGCCACTTAAAAGTTCAGGACAAATTTTGCTGGTTCAGACGCGAGTTGTTAACTTACATTATCATTGGTCTGTGTGTATGCCTTGGATATAGAGCATTATAAATAGTAATGGGGTATTAACTCATACTGTGCACACCCATTTATATATGTATATTTACATACTGTATGATACTGTGTTGGATAGCTTGAATAGACTTGGAAAGAGGTACTGTGATTTTTTCATTCAGCAAAGATGTAAAAACATGTTTTATTTCATCCTCTGAGCATACTCTCAGAGGTTACACCTATGTCTAATCCCCAGAGAACAGCATTGTTTTGGAGTGGCTTTCCAGGAGAATTTTTAACATTTCAGTATCGCTTTAGATGGTAACACAAATGATTCCTCTTTACAATGAATGAGCAGGTAAAGGGAAACCAGCTATAGTCCTAGTGTTTGAAGTCTAAAATATGCCAGTCCTACAGCTAGAAGGTGTTCTGGTAGAGCAGTGGATTGTTAGGATTTGCATATTTTCTGTATGAGGAAGCATACACCCTTCCCTAGGAAAAACGCATTCAATTTATAATTGCTAAAAGCCAGGAGCCAGAGCTCATGTTTTTACTGGAGATTTGGACATCTGTTATCAAGTCATCTTAAACCATTTTGAATCAGATTCTGAAGACAGGAGAAAATGCCATGTTTGCTATGAAAATGACAAGCAAATAAAACCACCTAGAGAAGCTTAATATGTGTAAGCTCAGGCTCTGTAGTAAGGTTTTCTCTAGAGATTAATGAATAAAATAAAATACTGTTTATTGGTGTGAAGCACAGGTTTTTCCTTGAAAATGAGTATCTTTTGCCAGCTTCTTTAACTGTTGTGTCCTGCAGTGTTTAGTGTGAGCTGTTTGAGTTCATGGTTGTAACAGCCAAAATGTCATAGAGGTATAGCTGAACTGCAGAGCTTTTGAGTGCAGACAGGATTCGAGTTTTGTAGCAGGAATTGTGGAAAAATGGACTTGTGTCAAGCCAGTTTGAGGCCTTTATTTCACTGAGGTCTCTGGAGGAGACGCAATGGCCAAAAGCTGCAGTCAACAGGATCAAGTTCCAGATACTCAGAGGCCCCATGCAACTTAGTGGGAGGCAGATCAATTAGAACCCAGAGTTGTTCTTGTGGCAGATGAGGAGCTGGAGATGAGAGACAAGTATATGAAGCCTAGGACTTGAGAGATCTGTAACTTAACTGGAAAGCACTTCTCTAGCTAGACTGCTTCTTGCAGTTAGGCACTTTGGGCTGTTGTAACAGTATGCTGTAAGACAACAAAGCAGCTGATCAGAGAAGGACCTGGGGTCTTGGTGTACACAAAGTCAAACATGACCCAGCACTGTGTTCTTGCAACAAAGAAGGCTAATGGTGTCCTGGGCTGTACTAGGAGTGTTGCCAACAAGTTGAGGGAGGGAGTTCTTCCCCTCAGCCAGCACTGGTGAGGCCACAGCTGGGCTAATTCTGGGCTTCCCAGTACAAGAGGGATGCTGACATACTGGAGAGTCCAGCAAAGGGCTGCCTAGATGATTGAGGGACTGGAGTATCTCTTGTACAAGGAAAGACTGACAGAGCTAGGACTGTTCAATCCAGAGAAGAATAGGCTGAGGGGAATCTTAGTGTATATAAATACATGAAGAGTGTAAAGAGGATGGAGCCAGGCTGTTTTCAGTGGTGCCCAGTGAAGGAGGCAGTGGGTGCAAACTGAAACACTGGAGGTGTTCCTTCTGAACATCAAGGAACCCCTTTATTTTTTTTTGTACTGTGAAGGTGACTGAGCACTGGCACAGTTTGCTCAGAGATCATTGGAAGTCTCCTCTTTGGAGATTTTCAGAAGCAGTCAGGACTTGGTCCTTGGCAGCCAGATCTGGGTGACCAGATGAGCTGAGCCATTCTGTGCAGACTTGCTGCTGTCGCAATGAACTAAGAAGTGTTTATCAGTGTTGAACTTCATGCTGCTATTGCATAATGTGTAAACATAAATTCGTAAGTTTTTTTTTTTTTGCAGGAGTGGGTCTTCAGAAGGACTCCTACTGTAAACTTGATTCGGTTGTGGGGAGGATTTTGTGTTACTTCTGTTTTGAATCGTGGCTTTGTATCCAGCTGTGTGGTTATATAACCTGGTCATCAACTTGTATATACTTCTATTGCTTCACAGAATCTTTTTAAGGTAAAAAACAGTGCTCCAGACCACATTAAAACTGCAGGATGTAGAGAAATAGTCCACACTTTACAGGAGGCTCATTTGCTGCTGGCTAAAACCAGTTTGGGAAAGATTAGGAGACTTGGTATCTAGTTTCCCTTTTTTTTTTGGCTAAGTTGGCTTGAATTCTCCCCTTTAAACTTTGCTGTAAAAGAAGAAGAAAAGCACACTATACAGTCTTGTGACCTTTGTTAGGATCTTTGCAGGGAGGCAAAAGAGCTCATTTGTCACATAGGCAATAGAATTGGCTTGACAGCCAGTCAGCCAGCCCTAAACAAAAACTGAGCAATTAGCATTCTGAGTCATGAACCTGAAAGAGAGCTGGGGGTGGGGTGGAGGCAATAAATTTGGGGAATGAATAAAGCTATCTATACATGGATGTACTATATGGCTCACAGTCTCGCAGTGTTTTCAGGCACACTAGACCTTGGGCTTGTACCATAAAATAGCTTGTCCATGGCAGCTGCACCCCCAGCAGTAACATGAACATTGTTTTAACATATAAAGAGTCTGTACTAAGCCCCAGCAGCTTATACTACCTTTGCTCAGCAGCAGGGGAAAATAGATATATTTCATTGTTTTTTGCCACTTCAAGTCATGTCTTCTGTTGACTCTTTAAAAACAAAGTAGACTTGTATAAAAGGTCTCTTTTCCTCGTTGGTTGTGTATACTAGATGTTGTGATCTTAAGGCTGCTCGTGGCATGATGCCAGTAGGTGCTTGGGAAAATAAGCTTCCTGGCTACCTGCAGAAGATTTATATTCAAGATTAGTGAGCCTGAGTGATGAACTGCTGTTACAGCTCCTGAGACCTTATAATACTGTCCATGGAGAGGGACGTTTTAGGAGGAAAGCGCTGTGGTTTTGGAGTAAACTCTTAAATAGGAGGTAGCAAAAGCTGAGATACTAAAGTAGGGAAGAAATCTGCAGATCCTTGCAAATTTTGTCCCTTAAACCTAGTTCTTGTATAAGGTTGACTGAAATGAAGAGGGAGAACTGGAAGCTGTTGACTCTGTGCATAAGTTTGGTTTCTAGGCCTTTCCTGTTAAATCAGCATGACTAGAAGACACTCTAGCTCAGAAGTCAAGTTGTGTGCAGTACCTGTGCCAGCATTCTATTCTTAGCAAGCAGAAACTCTAAATCTGGATCTCAAGTTTTAAGATAAACTTTTACACATTGATAAAAGGTGATTTAGGCCTTCTTTGGTGTTCTGGGGCAGGCTAAACTCCCAACATAGTAACAGTCACAATTTGTCAGACCAAGTCTGTCTTTCCTTGCCCTGAAATGAAAACTCGAGTTGTTTTCAAAAAAAAAAAGTCATTTCTCTTACTGTCCCGGTGAATGGCAGACATCAAGATACACTAGTCACTCCATAATTGTTCTACATACATGCCTGTCACACAGTTCTTCTAAAAAATATTGCCAGCAAGGAAAACATGCAAATATCCTGGGATTCCCTATGGGCTGAAGGATACCCAGAGCTTTTATCTTGCCTCCAGGTCAGAGCTTTGTGTGGATTTTATAGGACTGGGGAAGTGCAAGGGGGATACTGATATTCACTGTTACATTTAGTTTCAATTTCAGTACATAAAGATGCATAATCTAAACAAGCTTTTAAATTATTTACTAGTGTTCCAGCCCCTTGTAACAATTAATCCTGAGAACAACTAAAAATCTATGTCTTGTATGAATTTATGCTGGTTATTCACCTATTGAACTCTGCTTTGTCAGGACGA